ATTTTTCGATAGGTTCGGCAGTATTTCATTCAAAGAGCATCGTTCTTCGCCGCAGATGGATGTAAGATCTCGGGGAACTGCGCTGGACCTTTGTCGTTCCTCCCAGTGTTGTTCTTAGTCCTCCCCTTGCGCGGCTCTCGCCAAGGTGAGATGTGAGATTCACGAAGAATTTTGAGAGATGAGGCTAAGCAATAGTCAAATCGATGTGGAAGTAGTACAGAAGAGAAGCCCGGTTGGAAGAAAATGCATGCTGTTCAACGGTTGGTTCGTGGTGAGACATGAACTACATTTTTCAGTGTAGTTTTTGGTAAATACGACTGCAACTACGCAGGCTTACATAGGAGGGGGGTATTTTTCTTCGTTTTTTTGTTCTATTTTCGAGCGCCACCTTCCTCCTGCGGTGCGTGCTGCTTTTTATTTATTAATAGCGAGAAGGGTCCAGCCGTCCCTTTCCCTCGTCAGCGGTGCTGACGACCAAGTTTGGTACTACGAACGTTTCAGCTATTTTCGCTTCACCCGCAAAATTGTAGATTTTTCACTCCATGGGGATTCGAACCCACGACGTCGAGACTAGCGGTTTCGGGGTTACCACTAGACCACCGGGGCGACCGTGTGGCTGCCAGATGAGTCCATTGTCCAGAGTCGGACTTGGTCGAAAGAGATGTATTTGCCAGAGGTGGAGAAGAGTGGTTAGCCTCTAACCGCCAAGAAGCGTCCATCTTTTTCCCACCGACCAGGGGAACCCCCTCACACACGGGGGTGCGAGAACTGCCGTCGAAACCAACTCAGACGCGGAAAGGACCAGCATTCTCTCGGAGTTGTCATGGTAGGAAGTTATGCCCTACAAAGTATCCTCACGCGCCTTACCGTGCCGGGGACTCTTCTGGTGGAAACATCCCTCAAATGTGTTTATTACCCAAGAACTCTCAGATGCGGGGGAGGCACAGCTATCACCGCCCATGATGCTACCTACTGTCGACAGGTCTGCAGTTTGTAGTTCGTGTTGTCTTCACATTGAAAACGTTTCCGGTCTCCGCCCTGTACTTTCTGATATCCGTTGCAGGTCCAACTGACGCGGACGCCTTTCGTGGTCGCAAGCTAAACGCCCAAAGACGGCGCACCTTTCTTTCTAGGACGAGAACAAACAATAATTTCCAGAAAACATTCTTCAAATATGGCAATAGCATCCAGTACGGGCCCGAAGTCAAGAACTACTAGTACTTCGTGAGAACCAGAGGATCAAAATTTCATGAATATGAAAATAGGTCTATCAAACGCCGCTCAGTGGGGATCCTACACTACACCTCATAAAAAGCTGTGGTCGACAGTGGCGAAGAAACAAGAAAGTGAGCGTCTAGCCGATTGTAACGTTTCTTATCTGCTGGCCCGTACTGTAGGACAAAAAATAGCAAAAAACGAACCGGGAGATGATCGAACCTGGCCAAAAATGAAATCAAACACGACGACAACGACAGAAATATAAGCAAAAACGAGAGGGCACCCGAGGAGAAAATGTATGCATGTGAAACCTGAGTAGAGACGGGTGGTGTTCTTGTGCATCAGTGTACCGCCCTTGCCGAAGCGGCGTGAGCGTCACTGAATCGGCCGATAAACAGGAAGAAAGCCGCCGTAGCTCGACTAATGGTATGTGTACCACTATGCTGTTTTTCCAGCGGGCATACCACAGCTCACTGGCTCTTCGTACAAATATCCAAGAGCTAGCATACGAGACCGCTTCAGAGGTTCGAACAAGAAAGAGAAAAACGTCAAAATCGAAGGGTGGGACTCTTGTCGTCACCTGCATCCATCATGGCCTGAGAAATATCCAACCAGTCCGCTGCGGTAATAGCATCATCCCCGTGCGTGGTCCCGTCCACCTCGCTTAACCTAGGCGATGTCACCGGCATATCGGACACTTGGGGTACCAAGCCAGCAATGACACCACCACCACCACATCCCTCGACCCCACCGCTGAACACGTCAGTATCATCACTTGTGTCTCTCCTGACCGATTCAAAGTGGATATGCCAAGGTGACAAGCTCGGTCTGACCGGTGGACTCATGTGTGGCGCAAGCTCTTGGTACGATTCCCACGAGTTAGTACATGCCATTGGGTTCTCCGCGTTGCTGCAAGAGGCAACCATGATAGAGCCGGTAGCATCCTCGGGAGTAACACCGGCCGACACGATGCTGCTACGATGTTCCTTATCAACAGCCTGCAGATGCTCTTCTGTGCACTGAGTCCCTTGTGAGCCGGCGGAGTTGCTAGCGAAGAGGGACGGGGTGGAGAAAACACTCAATGCTTGACTCGCAATAATACCCTCGTATATCCTGCAAAGGAAGTATTGACGAACCAGTGGGAGCCAGCACGGGCAAGGGGTTGAATCATATATCCACAGTCGTAGAGCGGGTGGGTCCCGACACGGAGCGCTACGCCAAAGTCGCCGGCGAACGCTTGAGTCAATACTCAAGGGGTTTGAGCGAAAACGTTACCGCGCGGAAAGAGATACTCGGGCAGTAATTCGTTTGTGGCTCAGCTCCCGAGTGGACCGATGGACTGTGCTTCGTTTGCATTTTTTGGCGGGGTTCCTTCCACTTTGCGTGTATTTTCTTAAATGTCTTCATCGGGAAATGTAGGAACCTCCCCTCGTGTTTACATCTCGTTTTCGTTTGTACCTCACTCTGGGATACGTTGAACCCACGTGGAGAGACTCCTACATTACACCTCCTGCGATTTCACATCGTACACGAGGTTCAAACTAAATTTGTTCACGTATCAAGTGCGGGTATTTCCTTCGGTAGACACCTTCCCGAGGCTTCCGTGCCCGCGTAGGCACCTAGCAGTATGAGTGTGTGCTTCGCGTAAAAAAAACCAACGTGTAACGGCATATGGTGCGTCCACATAACTGTTCATTGGCGACAAAACAGAAGGACAAATATGCATCGAAACTCGTGGTCGCCTAAGAACACAACAAACTCGTACAAAGACCCTGACTAAAGCGATTGCTTACTGATCTCTATTGAAATTCGTACGGGCTTTCCCGACAAAACGACCCGGACGAGCCAGCGATTTGCCTTCTCTATCGATAATTCATACTTAGGAATTAACATAAAGAGAACACCACGCTGCGAAGCCTGTTGGAGTCCTCGCAAACTCGTGCCATTTGAGAAAAACAGATCTCCTAAACCTAAGGCTTTTCGGTTGCGCGACGACGAAGAGGCAACAAATTCAAGGCGAAACAAGGCCAACGTTTAGTGTTGCGCCAATAGATGTCAATTTTTGTTCTTGAGAAATCCGACGGACACCGCTTTGCCGCACAGGAGTATGCCTTGGTGTTGATGACCGGTTGGACAGGCCCCAGAGAATATATCATAGCAGGGAATCAACCCCCCGGCGTACCTGCACTGGAAATCATCGCAGAATGCGGATATCCCTCGCCACTCCTCCAAAGGTGGCGCTGGCAGAGAGTAAGACGGGCGGGACGGATTGTAGACCTCCCGCAACCGAGTATACAGTCCCCGAGAACTGGAGTCGTCAATCGCTGCTAGGGCCCCCAGGACACTGTGTGCCAGGTGACACCTACGCAAGGGGGGGGGTACGGGGTGGGGCAGGAGCACACGATGATAATGTCTATGTCGTACCACATACGGTTCAGCACACCGTTGACATGCTGTTACCACGAATGCCAGAATTGCCTACGGGTAGCCCCACACTGTAGTGGCCGAGCTCCTGCGCAAGAAAAAGCCACACAAATGATATTGAAAAACGAATACTGGCATTCGGAGACTCTTCGTGTCTTCTAGACTCACGGCGCAGCTTGTCCCATAACCCGCAACGACCACGGATCGAAGCCATCGAGGCTATCAATGTCAGCTATCGTGATGTCCATGCGATTGATTTGACTCACCACAGTATCACGTACCGGCACACGCCAGGGTACAACTCGAATACCTCGACACAATGCACGAGCCTCTCCAGCGCACCACCAGCGTCCCCTTTCGCTGCTCTTTGAAATGCCAGGGTTCTGTCAAACACGGCAAGTGGATTTGTAGATATTGAGGAAGTCATCGTTGAATACGAAGGTAGTACAACTGCTCCACTACCCGGATGACAGCACAAATGGTTGTAGTGCTCATAGGTCAACCGAGCGTGAATCACCGCACGCACAGAACACAAAACACTCACTGTTCCTAGCAGTCGGGACCATGTTGCCAGGATTACTTACACGTTGATGAGGAGACCGCCGACGCCCGTGCGAAAGTATGGTCTGCTCGCCATGTCGGTGAAGGCCGGCCACGAGAAGCAAGGGAACGAAAGGTGCGTGTAAGAATGCTAGAGCCCTTGCTCTGATACCAAAATGTACGCAAATAGGGGTCCACCAACAGAGGAGGTGCAGAAACAAAGGTTCTATGTCATCGTGAGCATAGAGATGCCGCATGGCATTTGAAAGTAATCCATCATGTAGGTTGAAACTTACTGACCGATCGACTGTTTCTTGCAGGTGTTCGAAGTCAATCAGGCCATCTCTCAACCCAGCCACCATGGCATCAGACACGTCTTCCGCTTTGGGGGCGTTGTCGTGCGGAAAAGCACCGCCTCTGTTGTCTTCGCAAGCGTCGTCTTCTCTCGAGAGTCTGCGCGCCGCACTGTTCTCGCAAGCTCTCTCGAAGACAACTTGCTGGAACGCCGTTTGCGACTGGGCAACATACCGATATATGTCCCCATCGCATGCAGCTGGCTTGATCTGGGTCAAAAGTAGCAGCGGAAGACGGTGAAGTGCAGATGTCGTAGTCGTGCACAATAGTACAACACTACCATTAACCCTCGCCTCCCTGCCAGGCCGAAGTGTGCGTGGGCGTATCGCCAAGGAGGCAGGCCTTTGTGCCCACGTGCCAAATACTTGCCGCCTTGAGGTTCCCACGAAGTCGCACGAAACGCCAAGGGCCGGCAGCAACCATTGCTACTCAGGGATCTTCTTGCTGCTCTTTTTGTGTTCGCATCAACCGTTTTCTGGAAGTGTACCCCGCACGTCATCTTCAGCACCCTCCGAACCCTAATTAAAAAAAAATCGATCATGTAAGTTGCAAAATTGAGAACTAAAAACTCCAAAACTAAAAACTCCAAAACGTCGCACTAGGTCAAAGCAGAAGAACTCTTGAAAGAAAGGACGTTTATCTCAGAATCGGATGACGAGTGATTTCACATTTGAGTGCCACAAACAATACATGTTTTCAATGTTGTGTCGCTCAATGTCTTTTGCACGTGCAGTCGAGCGAGCGCACACATTGACCGAAGAGTACGCCCTCATGTCTGCTGCCGACTGCTCAACACCATACACCAGTTACCGAGAATTGAGGGGCGGCATGCCACAACGCTGTGGTAGCCATAAGTCCTGTGTGCGTAATTAACCAAGACACCGCAAGTGATCCTTCTTGACATCTGGGCCAATCAGCCTCAGCTTCGAGGTACCGGACACACCTGTGGAGCATCTTGACGCTGGGCGCCCAACGACTCGATACCCGCAGCGTCTAGATGTCCAGAGTATACCTGGACAGTGTCCTTCTGACTGACCATCTCAGCGAATCCCTGCCCACGGTACATGCATGCATACGAGAGTTCAGCAGATGCGCACGACCGCAACTATAAAACGCAACAGTGAAGCAAATATGAAGGAAGCAACACTAAACATGCCCCCATTTCACTTCAAGGAAGTACTCCGGGAGAGGTTGGTCAGACTACAACCAGACCTCATTGCTGCGTCATTCGGCGATGAACAACATGGTGCCATCGTCGGACGGCTGAGTAGCATGAAGCACGAGGAGCAACCGCGCGACGCTAGCGCCGTGATCGAGATACCAAAACATGAGATGCGCTGCTGCGGCTACCCAGCGCATCAATCCACCTCTGTGAATACTACTGTTGTATTCTTGACACCGTTGTCGCTCACTTGATGGAAGTGTTGGATTGGATAAGGCCTCGTGCCCCCGGGGCAGGAGGTCCTCGCCCATGGGTATATCGCCACGGCGTGAAACGTTTACGCCGCGGCGACAAGCCTAGGCAAATGATCACTGTGGTGATAAGTATCAACTACTCAGGAAACTAGTTGGGTGGGCGGGATGGTCGTTAGTTTCCTGTCTTGTAGCTTTCGTTTGAGAAGTTGTGGTTGCTCGAAGAGACAAGTGCCAATGGGTGTAACGATTTCAAGTAATTTGGGGGGCTCGCAGCTGGTAATATTCCATCTGATTGGCTCCCAACTATACCGTAGTTTCGCAGAGAAGCTGCGGGGATGATCCCTCCCACGATGGCCTTGCACGCACCCAACAAAGTGTTTGCGTTGGCGGCTTGACTCATAGGGCAAGGAGCTCATCGGGCGTTGGACTGCAAAGATCTGAATCTCCTTTTTGGGAAAGCAGGCCGTGTTGTCATCGTCAGTCTACTGCTGTCCGTACGGCAATGTTCTTGTTGCAAACAGCCACACTCTCGTCGACCTCAACCTGTGGCCAACTTGAGACGCAAGTCAGGAAAGGAACGCTCTTACACGAGGCTTTGGTGCAGTCCAACAAAACGAAACGGCATCACACTCACCACGGGCAGCATGCCAGCTGACCCTTGCTCGATGGAATCAATCAAAAAGGAGCTCGAGAGCTTCAGGTACTTCACATAATTCGCCTGAAGCACAGAAACACAACGGACATGGCGCCAAAAAAATGCGTGGGCGGGTCAAAAGATAACGTCCAGTGGGAGGAGAGCATTTCCAACAAATATTGTGTCGTTGACAATGCGAACCATGCGGTGGCTACGCGATCGGCTCTTTCGACCGGCAAGAGGATATGCTCCTCGTGTGCACAACGCGGGCATAAGGACTAAGGGTGCGGTACTTCCCGCCGAAGTCGAGCTCACCATGTCTCCCATGGAACCGTGGAAGTATCCCAGGATCGCCCACGCTCTGACGCAGGAACGGGGTACGGGTTCCGTTGTAAGGAGTCGAACGGGAACGACCACAGCCTGTCATACAAGATACCACACTCTCTGGACTGAGTATGAACGCTGGAGTTCGTCTACGCATCGAGAGCGTCAATCAAAACGGTGGTCTGGAAGTTTACCGAATACACCTGTTCAAGTACGCATCTGTAGGTGTTGCCTGCCTCACTGACGACGAGAAATCGACCCTTACGAGAGAGCGGTGCAAGGTGTGTGGAATCGTGTGTGGCATTAGGCACTCAGGCTTGACTGCCTTGCCAGGAACACAGATTGCTCGGAACGTGTTTTTGTAATGACATACATGGCCTAAACAGCAAAAGTCGTAAGAACCAACGCCTCCGACAGCAATGTGTCACGCGATACATACCACACAATGCGCATGGGTCCCGGTGTACATTGCCTCCCGTGATGCATGCAACTTGTCTGCGTAACTCACTTTGCCACCTCGGCGTTCACAGGGCCATTGTAGGCGTCCAGTGCATCTCTCGCCAGTCGGGAGTACTTCGCAACCTTTCGTGACACAGTGTTTCGAGGTGTTGAGATTCGCGAGCGGTGTATTGACGAGGGCCGTCGGTAGTAGCGAAAATTGAATTGGTCGGCAGCTGCACGCAACAGTCAGGAGTGGTACCATGCAAGGATTAGCACCCAAGGGCGAAGACGAACAACGGGGCTTCTAGTCATGAAGCGTTGGCAAAAACAAATGCTACGTTTTCTCACCGATTCAGCAGTGCGTCCCTTCATAATAGCCCCAACACCAACTGCACACCAAAATGTGCAACAGGAGGGGCCCGTCAAGAGCTGATTTCCCGTGGTGATGCCATCCTCGGCGAAGATGGCGCCGAACTGGCCTTGCTCGGGGGAGTCGTGCAGAGCGCCCAGCTGTTGTTGGGCAGTGGAGCGGGTCATCATCCTCACCATCGCTCCACGAACGTGACTGGCGGCCAAAATCAATTGTAAGGGATCTTGTACGATTGACTGTATTGCCATCGCGCGGACGAGTCGCAGTCACTGCCGGAAAAGTCATTGGAGGCATACAGGAAAGTACGGGTACTCTCGGCGCCGATGGGCCCTTCAGTGTATGTCATCAAAGCTAGATCTGTACCTTGGAGTTGTGAGGGGCAGCAACCCAACGCAGCCGAAGAAGTCATTGAGGAAAGCATTCTCCTGCATGCCCACAAGACCCGTCGCCGGAGAAGCGCTCAATCTGAACCTGGTAACAGAACGTGTCTTTAGACGCGGTATGACCATGCAAAAAGCTCTTGCCCGATATGGCACGCAAGACGTGGAGGCCTCTTCGGAGCAACCTTTGTCCTCCTTCAGCTCATACCTGCGGGTTCAATGTACTCCACGTCAAAACGTGTTTGGGCGTACTGGTCGACGGTGAAGCTCACGCAAGCGCGGTACGCCGACGGCGATGGACAGTCATCTAAGTCAACACGGTGTCGCTCTTCTCTTGCTGCGCCCGTATTCTCTGGGCAGTGCTACTGTGAAGCTCGGATGCGATGTTGCAGACACAGTTTGTGTGATACAGGCTGGAGCACTTTGTATTTCTATCGAAGTTGTTGACGACTGACCTCTTCAAGGGTAGGATGCCGCTGGCCACGATAGCGCTGGATGATGAGTCTGTCGACTGCATGCCAGCAGGACCACTAGGCTGGCACCGTTGCTGGTGCCCAGCCCCAGGCTGGTGCCACTTCCGCTTGATGTAGGTACATCGAACCCCAGTTTCTAGGCAACGGCTACACAATGCGCACGTCCGGGGGGTCACGGTCGTGCTTTCACTGATGCACGGTCGATGTAGGTCCGGGCCATCGATTGTCTACATAAATGCGTCCAGTGGGATTCAGGTAGGTGGGATACCTTGCAATACCTGGTGTAAGGAGTGTGTCAGTTGCGCGACGCGGAACACAATAGCGTGGCGATAGTGGCGGGAAACAGCCACTCCGGGTCCGAAATCAATGTTCTTGGCCCGAGCCCCAGGTTGAAGATCACGTACGTTTTCGGCACCAACCACGTGCATCTGTGCAATTGATTGGCTAGCGCTTTTTCCGGTTGTTTCCACGTTCGGAGAAGATCAAGGTTGATTGCATTGGATCCCTTAGAGACGATACTGAGCATCATGATTTCAGCAGCAACATCATCGCCAACGTCCATGTCGATACATCACACACCTGCAAGGCGTCATGCCGTCGCACTTCTTTTTCTTTCGCGTACATTCCACGCAGCTCTTGCGCATCCCAGCATTTGTCAATGCCAGCCCGTTTCCGGTTTTATTGCTACTAGTACTCATGGTCGCAGTCGCTGCGTCGCGTTACCCTGCGTGCATGGTTGAAAGCAGGGGTGTCCACGGAGATCAATTGCTCGGCAGAGCGGATTTATGCTTTTCGAATTTTTCACGGGGCGGAGCGGGGCGGTTTTCGTCTTTTGGTAAAAGTCATGGAGAAGAGCAGTGCGGTTCATCCGAGGGCACGACGTCTCACGTAACGAATCGTCTTTGTTTTGCTCATCATGTCACGGAGCGGAGTGGTTAATCCGTATGTGTAGACGTTTTTCTTTCTGACGGATTTAGTTTCCTCCGTGACATGAACCGCGCAAAACGGTGGCCTTGACGACGGTGCACCGTCAAACAAAAAGTGCGCATCATTCCGACATCCGTACAAAATGAGGGAGTATTCCGTGAAATACGTTGGGTGCTGTGCACGGAGGCTATCAGTGACACCGTGCTTGTTCTTGCGGCCAGAACAGCCCAAACGAACGAAAGAGTTGTCAATCTGTCCGTTAGCCTAGATCAAAACAAGGGACCATTGCACACATCGATACCTCCTCGACCTATTCGTTCCTGGAACATGCACAAATCAGCAGCTAACTCCTTTGCCTCCTCTCCTGGTGGAACTGCCAGATCCAGGAAACACCAGGTGTTCTCATGTACCCATTATTCACCCCGCACTCACTACAAGAGAGCTCTACAGCCCAGCTACAGACGCCCCTACACTCAGGGAGATTCAAACTCGCGAACCAGTTGCCCTCCCGCACGAGGAGCTCGGACGGATTCAGCTTTAGCCTTTCCACGAGATTGAGCCGCAAGCAGTTCCCCCAACTCATATGACGTATGGTCCAACTGTTTGATCTCCGGAGTTTGATCGGGCGTCGAAATCTCAATACGGTCGAAGCCATTGCCTGCCAAACAAGGTTGTACGCGAACCCCAGCCATGAAACAAAATTCTTTCTGAATAGCAACTATTTATACTGCCGATGCAAAGATCACATAGATATGTCGTACCGGGGGGTACGCAGGTTCGCACGAGGTTCATATGTAAGACTCGCGCAGTGCAAAAGCCGTGGCTCCATGAAAAACCGAGACTGTGTTGTCGTATAACCGTAGATTTCGCGGTTTGAACAGTGGAATCTATGGCGGAGTGTGCATAGCTCAAAATTATTTTTCCGTAATAAAACGCTTGTACGGACATTTGGGAACCTCAAGGACGTAGGGCAGCCGTATATTCTCCGAGGACACAATGCTACCGGAGCGGAGCGAGTTGTTGTGCACATATCACAGGGTGGAGGGTTTACAATGTTTCATTTGGAATCTCACGCAGTGGTTGCAACCGCACCGCTTTGCCCCGCTCCGCCGAGAAAACAGGTTCGTGAACACCCCTGGTCCAGTTTACAGCAGAGAGATTGTGTAGAGGAACGAAACAAAGGCATCGCCTCCCACTGGACTTGCGACGCCACCTGTCGTGAATACATGCCTGTATGAACTTCGATGGTTGTTTCTCGTACATCAGCACACTGATGGACTCATTTCTCATATATGACGAACTTTATGGGTCCCTTCTGACTCTGGCTCTATTTCCACTTTAATCCAATCTGCAAACAGAAAGCAACCAACCTTCGCGCCGTTGACATATTTTGCGTTCAACTGCCATCAGTATAAGAAACCATGAAAAGCTCGGATGGGGCGTACGCGGGAACGAAGTTGAGCGCTCCTCGGTGACCTGTCCTCTCAAACCTCATGGCCATAAGGCATTGATCTACACAACTCCTTACACCACTTCGTATGGGAGCATAAACTTGCGGGAGAAGTTAAAGATTGCAATATTTTCTCAACACTTTTCTGATGTGCGCTGTTTTTTGTAGCAAACAATTGCGCCACATATTTAGAAACTTTTACTTTTGACAATAATCGCGCGTTCTGGAGCAAAACCGATTGCGAGCTTCAACTTTTCTCGCGACAAACGTGCCGGAACAAAAATCGCGGCGAGACTTCCCGCAATTCACGTCAAGCACGTACCCCTACGACACACGTAGACCCACTCTCCAGCTTCGATTGGAAGGCACCGTGTTCACCGACATCTCGACGAATGCTAAATGAGTTTCCTCGTGAATGGTATCAGGAAGGAGGTGATGCCTTGGGCTGTTAGACGATGCCAAGGTTGGCGCCGTGAGGTGCCGAATGCGCCGGGACATAAAAAAAAGTTTGTGTTGACGAACGAATGTCAATGGCCACGAGAAGATAGTTCAAAGTTTGGTGTTTTTGACTGCCACGGGTTTGGTTTTCCACCGAAACATTTTCGAAGGAGAAAGCAACAGGAATGGCAATGCGACTCGGCGAGAGGTCGCTCTCTGCTCTATTTTTCATGCTAACGGTTTGGTACCGTGAGATATCGTGCGCGTTGCGGAAAAACGCTCATGTTGACCCTGAATATCCCACGTCAGAGAGCGGTTGGTGCAAATCCGCCGGGATTGTGTGCTCTGGGTTGGTTTCCAGCTGCAACGTTTTGAAGGAGGAAACAACAGCAATGCCACTCTGATCAGGTAAGCTGCCTTGAAGTATCGTGAGTGTGGAGGGAAAAAGTTGTAACCACCCTCTCCCGCGCGCCCTGGCCGATTTCTTAGGCATGAACAGCAAAAAATCGAAACATTTAACGCGGAGGGTGTGCCTGCTTCTCGCCGTCGACAAAAACAAAAAGGATCACACCTCGGCATTCCACCGGCCCCGTGTAGGAAACTTCCTTCCACTCATCATAGTGAGCGTGCAACAAAGGTGCTTTCGACGAAAGTTCCCCCCATAAGTTGAAAATATGCTTTAACTTCTCTCGCAACTTTATGCTCCCATAAAAAAGGTGTTGGTGGACGTGGAGGTCTTCTGCACAGTTACTCTTTCCCCACCCCATGGGATGCACCCTTTTCCGTGCCACATCTCAACACTCGGAAACCCGCCCCTGCGAAACCACGTGTTTCCTGCAGTCCCATCACCGATAATCTTTTTGCTTCGCTGCCTCGTGCAAGACACTGCAGGCTCGCCCGTACCCATTCGCCCCGTTTACAGCCAGAGTCCGCAAATTCCAGGTGGCTATCCTAAGAAGTCGAACCTGCTGTCGCTTTGGGGGGGCGCGTGCTATTTGGGGACCACCCTATGCTTCGCGCGCCCCGTCCTTTTGATCCTTCTTCCCCTATTTCATTAAAAATTATTGCCATGCGGACTCTCGGGTTATCGTAGAAGTGGTTGACGTACAAGTCATGCCGGCCGGTGCTTGCCTTTTATACGAGAGTTGGTCTTGGTCCCGGAGCGGTGTGACCCTCCAGCTGTGGACTATTTATTTTTTTCTCTCTGGTGCATACCCCGACGGCTTGCGGCTTGCGGTGACTCTGCCACCATCGTGCTCTCTCTGCTGCTGCATGGCCCCGGTGTCCAAACCGGGGCATTAGGATCCAGTCTCATTTTGCAGCTGCCCAAGCTAGCTAGGTCACGATCTACCGCGATCTTACGACAGCGGTATCTCCCGACCGCGTGTGTGTTCTATTTCGTGATATTACTCAGAAATATCATATTACCGAACTTATTTATTGAGCGCCTGCCGTTTTTGTAGGTATTTGTACTTGAGTTAAGACAGGTATGAACTTTATGTTGAAATCAAAGGAGACATGCGGAGTACACGCATGGTACAGTACGTATCTTTCGAGCAGCCTCTACCGCCGCCCAGTGCGAGAATCGGCGATTTTTGCGTTTCCCGATGCCTTCCGACTGGTCCTGTGGGTCTCGTGTGCTTTCTCTGATCCTCTTGCGTTATTTCCGAAATCAGGCAACATCGAAATCGGTTTGTTGTGCCACCTTTCGGTGTGGTGACAGGACCCTATATAAGGGGGGGCCTATGTAGTCTAGAGTCCAGGGGGTGTTATCCACCGTATTCTCCGGACGACTATTGTTCGTCGCAATTGTACAGCAGTAGGAATATTCTCGAGGTACTGCTGTAGGGTTGCACTACATAGGGCCCCCTTGGCGAACAGCAACCACCGACGGTGAAAACAAACTTTACCCAACGTTCCTCGCTCACCCTGTACGAAACTCTGCTACCACTGCTGATGGATTCTCAAAAACCAGAAATGAAGAAAGAGGTAACGATTTCAAAATTCTCCAGACATAAAGAACCAGAACACAGGAGAAGAAAGTACACCCTCTCACATTCCTTTTATCAAACCTGGGCAAGACAGGAAAACAGAGGAAAAGAGAGCCTCCTTTTGAGACGCTCTATCATCCGCTCGCGCCCCCCCTCTGCTCGAGCGGCGCCCGCGACCGTCCGTCCCGCTGGGATTAGTTCTTTCCCCCTGTTTGTGTCTCTCTTCGTGCGCTTCTTT